AGCATGCGCAAAATCGTGTTTACGTCAGCGTATTCGAAAATTTGCGGATACGACCGTCCACACGTATCCGTATTCGGAGCATATTTGAAAATTTCCACTCTGGAGACCGTTTTCGAAAATTTCCGGACACGTGTGGACGCAACCCGTATCCGCAAAAAAAAAAATTGCGGATGCAAAAATTTTCGGATACGTGTGGACGGGGCCTTTAGAGTTCCATTCAGTTGTAATAATAGTTTGTCAAGCTGATGTTGGACTTGTCGCGCATGATAAACTATAGTTTTGCTATGCGCGGAAACTTAAAGGGCAAAATCTGCGACGGCGACGTCTACCGGAGGTGTAAACAACTTAACTTTGGGGTTTCGCGCCTTCAAAGTCTATCTTCCCTGTGGATGAGTTGACTTTACTCACAATGTTTTGAATGAAATCATCCAATGAACAGAACCCTAAAGAGAAGTTACTTACACTTCCGGTTGACGTCGCCGTCGTAGATTTTGCAAATCCTAAAGTCCCTAATCAGTCACATAACGGAACTGCAAAATGGAGTATTTTCGATGTCCGTTATGGTAGTTAATTTTTCGAGGACCTCGGTTAGTAATTTTGACATTCGTATGTCTATGCCGTGACGTAAGGGGATTTTATCCTCATGTTAAGCATGGCTGAAAAACGCACTGCGCATGCCCGGAAATGAATAAGAAGACAATTCTCGCCCGGATTTCCAGAAAAAAAAGTCTTAATTCCGCGTGTTTGACTTGTAAATAAAGTTTAGCATGATTGTGAAACGCACGGTGATGGTACGAAATTGACAACGTCTGTTAAACCAATCACATTGCCGGAAATTATTTTTCGCCCAATCAAAATGCTTGGACACAGCACCGTACCGTCACAGTCAGTGCAATTTCGTAACATGATGTCAATTTTATACTCGGGGCTTACCATTTAACAAAACAAAAAACAAAAACATAACATTTACCCAAAAACAAATGGTCATTCCGATTGGAGTGGTCTCTCGATTGAGGTAATCCACTTTTCCCGCTCTCTTCGGTTCTTCCGGTAGACGCGTGTACCATTTGTCGGAAGTCAAAGTTTCCCGCTCTTTTCTTAAGCTGCCGATACACGCAATTTTTTTTCGCGCTGTCAACGCAATTTTACTACATTTTTAAAAATTGCAACATCTACCATATCAAAAAGGTTTGAAATGGGTAAAAATCAGTATTAAATCCTGATTGGCTAGTTTGAATAGGGTTATTGCATTGCGAGTAAACACGGATAATAGAATTTTTAGTTTTCTCTATTTTTAGGCGTGCAATTCCGAAAATGTTGCAGAGAAAAGTTCAAACTTTTTGATTTTCGGTAAAACATTTTGTAGCGGGGCATGATACACGCCGAAATTGGGTCCTCGAGCTGGCAATGCAACGAAAAAATTGAGATTGCATTGCCAGCCCGAGAAAAAATTGCAGCGTGTATCGGCATTAACGAATGAATTTCCAATCGGATGGATTGATTAAAATGGTAACACCCCACTAAACGAAATTTGACCTACCGTCTCTGATGTATTTTTCTCTACCACAGGATGCCCAGGACCATGAGTTGGAAGAAAGCCGTGACAGACTACTTACCCAACGCGCTATTATTATCCAGAAGGTCGTAAGAGGCTTCTTAACCAAGAAACGGTTTGTTAAACAAAAACAGATGGCGGTAGTGATCCAGAAAGTCTGGCGAGGACATCACCAGAGAGCCAGATTCCTCAAGGTCAGTTATCTTAAAATGGACTACCTGTGGACTCACCCACCACAGGGTTACCAAAAATTCTGAAATCAACTTCTCTTTTGTTCCAGATTCGTAATGGTTACGCACGTCTCCAAGCTGTATACCGAGCTCGGGAAAGATCAGCCAAATTCCAAAACCTTCGTCTCCGCGTGTGCTTTTTCCAGGCTTATTGCCGCGGTTACATGGCGCGAAAAGATTTCAATGTGCGCATGCGTAGTATTATCAAGATTCAAGCAGGGGCACGAAAGGTGCTGGCCAAGAGAACTGCAGAACGTCTCAGACTTGAGGTAAGAATTCCCTAATGTTGTCCTCTAAAATTTCAAGCCGCAATTCAGGAATATTTTTTCTTTTGATTTTTTTAGAAAGTTAAACGCGAAGAGGCAGAAAAACTTCGGCAAATCGAAGAAAAGAAGTTGAAGAAAGGAATGGCGTCTGACAAGGCCAAAATGGAAGCGGAAAGACGTTACAAGGTTAAACTAACATAAAATAAATTTAAAAAATACATTGTGACTCTTCCAGGCGCGCAATGCATTCTTCGTTTAAAACATTTTCCCGCCAAAAACGGAGTATTTTAAATCAATAGCTTCAAAATATACATTTATTGGATAAGCTTTCGTCTCTATTTTTGAGTAAAATGTGCTCTTTATTGCTCAGATAAAGAGATACGAATTTTTTTTTGGTCCATAGAATTTAAAATATTTTGATAAACGATAATCATGTTATCATGTCAAGATGAAGAATAATTTTAGCTGGTAACAATATCTAGATATCCAAGTATTTGTAGCAACTTCTTATTGATTTATGATTTGCAACTGCTTATTGATTTATGAATTATGGTTTGTTTTTAGGAGCGAGTAGCGAAGATTGAAGATGAAGTTCGTGATCTTCAACAGCAGGACAAAGAAAAGGCGAAACTGAAGAAGGAAGAGATTGAAAAGGCTGAAGCTTTAGCAAAACAACGCAAAGAAGCAGATGTAGACGACGAAAAAATGGTAAAAACAAAACAAAAAACAGAGTATCTTCTCTGTACCTAAAGATTTTTAGCCAAAAATGTATATCTATAAAGAATTTAAATATGTCTTGCGAAATTCATATTCTTAAAAATTTTACGGCTCATTTTAGTTGATGTCTTGAATACTAGATGAATATTGAATAGTGTATCGTAGCTCGAATCATAGCGGTAAATTATGCCGAGAGTCTCAGTTTAGAAGCCAAAACCAGGCCTAAAATTTTCTGTCTAAGTTTTCTTCGCAAAATTTCATAAATAGTGAGATTTTAAAAGTTGCAAAAGCGCGGGAAAACTTAGGCATGCTTGGTATGAACCTTTTAAATACCAACAGTTTCTTAAAATTCCTTAGTATAAGTTACATGTTATTTGGTATTAAAAACAGAAATTTAATATTGCAAAACGTTTAATTTATATCCTAAGGTCAAAGGACAAGAATTTGTGATTGTTTTAGACAAAACCATTTAGTATTAAGCATCAGAATATTTGAAAATTTTGTCCACAATTTAGTGATTATCTCTCCATTCACCGGGAGAGTTTTCAATCTTTCTCGATGATCTTGGTTTTATTTTAAAATGAAGTCTGCTGCTCGGAACGTCTATCGGATAAAAGATCGTAGAAGACCACAGGCTTCGACGTATCCTTGGTGTTTTGATCAACAGCGATGCGAAGTTGAATCAAATGATAATTGTTTTCTCAAAAATCGTAATAAGGAGTTCAGTCAAATTCCTGTGAACTTTCCAAAGCATTCTCAGAGCGAGAAAAGGAAGAATTACGATAAAGAAGCAGAAAATACTAGGATATTTCGAGAAAATCCGTGCTATTTGGTATCATTGGTAAGATTGTATCTATATATTTTTTTCAGCGTTTCGAAATTCAATTCTTAAATGAGTTTTTTATATGCCATAATTATCTCACATTTGTCTTCGGTGAATTTCCAAGTGTCTTTAACCAAAATACTTAAAATTTAATGATAAACTGTATAAACAAAAAATATTCTGAATTTTAAAAGAATATAAATTCAGCCTCGAGGCGAATAAACTACTACAAACACAAGAATATTTTGTCATGTTCAAGGATATAAATCATTTCAAGATTTTAGTAAATGATGTGTCCTCGCTTTACTAATAAAAGCGATAATGGGGTCTAATTATAGCTTATTATTTCAATAATGATTCTGTTTACTTTTTCTCTTAGGTCGATGAAATGTTTGGATTTTTACCAGAGGAGAGAGCAGCTATACCAACAGCAGCCGAAACACCGTCAGCCTTTAAGGTAAAAACTATTTAGACTAACTTTCCCCATCTCTTACGGCCCGCTTTAACCTGACTTTAAAATCTTATAAAAACCATTTAGTATAAATAATTTTATCTAGAATTTGCGATAAACTCTTACTTCACCCTCCTCCTAAAAGGGTTTAAAGTTTTTTATCTGTTTTTCAAAAGCGGAAGGAAATTTTTTTATCGCTTTCAAATCTTTTTTTAACCACGAAGTATAGCTATATTTAACCAATTGTTTTGATTTTTTCTTAAAAATACTTTTTTCTCTTTTTTGGTGATAAGTTTAAATATAGCTACTTTGAATTTTTTTTGGATAAAATAGCGCGGATGCTGTAAAATGGCTTTTCGCTGTTATGTACGCTATCCAATCACAGCAGCCATAACAATTACGTCAATCAACTTGCCACATTTGCTTCCTTAAATTTAGCCTTTCCTCTGCTTTTTACTCGATTTACTTTCGTATTTTTGAGCCAAGTTGCTGTCCAGGGTGTCTTTCTTATTTGTTTGTTGTTTTTTATTGCAAGGATTTGGAACAGCACCAGCAGGCTATGATTTCCACAGAGGATCAAGCTGTCGTTAAACGGAGAAAAGATGGGGTTGGTATTTGGTGGTGGTATTGTAGCATTGCGAATGCTTTTGTGTTTGACCTATTTAATAAGATTAATAACAAAGAAAGATTTGAAAAGGTCAGGCTCTCAATTTTTTAAACTATATCCAATATCATCATCATCATCATC